AGGCTTTCGAAGAGAAAGGTTTAGGACGGCTCAAAGACGGGAGGAACCCATATCCCAATAGGTGGGAGCATGGGAAACTCTAGCGAGCCGAAGCAAATCGTATCGCTCTCATGACGAAGATGGTGGAAAGGTGGGCCATCCAATGACCAAAAGCGTGAACGTACGGCGTCCTCCCCACGGACGGGGCCAACTATCGGTGCGAAAAGTGACCAATAAGTAAATATTTATAGTTTTGCCATACGTTATGATCGGATGTGGCCTAGCACTCAATGACACAGGGTTTATACTGGTTCAGGCAATGTGCCCTACGTCCAGTTCTAGTCAGTTATAGACTTTATTCCTGAGCCCAGGTGCTCGGAGTTTGCTGTGGGGTTACAAATGAATAGGGATAAGAAGGGGTGTTGAAGGTCCGATCAGACTCTGAACCGTAGGGCCAAGAGTGACAGGAGCTCCAACGTGCGCTAAGTATTGGAACGTATGCTCTGTGTAGCTTTAGAGTTCTAGAGCTGTGGAGCTGTTCGAATGCTCAGAATGTCTAAAGCTAGCAGTGAGAGAGAGTCAGAATGACCGTCCTTTTTTGGGAGAGAGAGAGAGCATCCCCTTTTATAGGTGAAGAGAATGGCCTTACAAATGAGAGAGAGAGTGTGCGTGTTTTCTAGTCTTGTTGCCCACGCCGTCGGGTACAAGACAGTTTTGTCGGCGCCCACAATACTGTTGACGTCTAGATGCATGTGGCAGGCTCCATCGTGTTCTTCTGGCATGGCAAATGTCGGCGCCTACCATACTGTAGGACAAATGTCGGTGCCCACAACATTGTTCATGTTCTGACATGTCTAAAAGGTTGCAAAGCACCCTTCTGGCATGGCCTAGCGGTACTGTCTTGCAGGTGTGCAGGGTACGGTCCTCGGTATTGTTGTTGACTTGAGCGCCTTACCTTATCTGCTCTGCCTGATTCTTGGGTCCATACCGAGAGGGCGTCCCGATCGGTCGTTCCCAATCGGCTCCGACCGCGCCGGTCGGAGAAGAGCCGTAAGCAGAGGTTCGGTGTATTCCCGGTCGAAAAAGCGGGTCGGAGTCAGAAGCGAGCGTCGTCCCCTCTTTGGCCAGGCCTTCCGGTCGGAGATTGGATCACTCTTTCGGCCTGTCGTTAGGTATCTGGGCCGGCCCAGGAGTCGCGCGTCGTTGTAATGCCGTCTGCTGGGCTGAGTTTTTGTTGAAAAACGAGCCCATCGAAGACCCTGGGTTTATGAACCCAACAGAACTAGTGATCAAAACCTTTGATCTGGGTCTCGTTCAGTTCGGCTCGATCTTTAGTTTTCAATCAGTTGTCCTTAGTCCTATCTCCTGCACCATCTTGATTACGAAGAAAAGATGTATGTGGAGGATTTTCTCTTAGAAAGGGGTTCTTCCTAGGAAAGCTCAAAGGAAACATTTAGAATGAAATATTTTTTGACATGGCCGACAAGAACATAATGAAGCTCTTTGTAGAAATGGGATCATCACTACAAGAGTGTATCTGGGAGGCCTATTTATAACTAGAAGCAATTAGGATAGGTAGAGGTAGGTGGATTAGTTGCAGGTGGACCGAGTAATCAGTGGTAGGTGAATCCAATGATGTAGGCCATTGTCGGGTTGCAGCTCAACCCGACTGTGATATCGTATGTGTTGCCACTGTTGCCATACCACTATTGGATTGTGGCCTGACTAGGTAGTGATACAATATCTTCCCATATCACTGTCGTATCGTGGCTCTACCCGACATTAAATTCACCATCGGGTCAATAGAATCCTTAATAATTATCTAGATCCTAGGTTCATTACCCAGCAATGAAGACGGATCCTAGGCTCATTACCCAACAATGAAGACGGATTCCTGCCGACTCTAGCATACCCGACAAAGATGAACTAGCAGGGATCGTGTTCCATAAAACCTTCTCTGTTGATATAATATTTTGATTATTAAGTAAAGCTACATATTTTCTTTGTCCCGAAAAGAATGTCATATTCTCATTTTATGATGTATAATATTATTTTGTATAAAGTAATTGAGAAATTTTGACTTTAACGGATGTTTTATTTTTTTTTTTTGGGGGGGACCGGAGGAAGCAGTGAAGTACATTGTTTGTACGAAAATAAATCTATGTTTGGGGTCCATCTGTAGGAATCAGGCTGGTCAATTTAGATGCACTAACGCTACCTTTGCAACTACCTTATTCCATGGAATCAATTTATCCCCAAAACTAAAACCTTCTTTGTACGAAAAAGTCCACTTTTTCGTAAGTTAGGTTGTAGTCGGAGTCCTTGTCACGAACTCACAGGCCGACTCACCGCAATTTGCCCTTCTAGCTGTAAGCAACCGATGTGCTCAGTGCTCCCTCAACCCCTTTTCCCTAAATTAGAGAGTGGTAAAATAGTAGAAACTTTGGGAGACTTAGCACACAAGGTTGACCTATAACAGTCACGTACACCAAGCTTGTTTTGGAACTTTCCACCCTGCTGGAAATAGCTAAGTCACCTCGAAGATACAATCGAAAGGGTTTCTTCTCACAATGCGTGGCAGTCCATTGTCACGAGGAGGTGCACTGGCTAAGATGGATGGGGTTCAGTTCAAAAGACCCACGACCCCCGCGTCGTCTCTCTGAGGCGACTCAGGGGGCCAACCCCTGCCGCCGCCGGGTCCTTCGGGACCGCTCCTCTGGCTGCCGTCACCGCTCCTTCCGATGTGCGGTGGCGGCGGCCCACGGTGGTCCTGCTCAGAAAAGGCAGCTGCCGCTCCTTCCCCTCCCCTCCTGCCTCCTCTTCCTTCCTCCTCCCGTCCTCTCCCGAGCTCCACCTCAAGCAGTAGCAACCATGGGCTGGCGGAGTTCCTAGGCGCCGGATCTGGCTCTGTGGTGGCCGGATCTGGCGGCCGCACTCCGTGCGTGCTCGGCCAGCTGCGGCCGAGGCTGCGGTGCCACGCTGGATCCGGCCGGCTGCGTGCACCGAAAGGCCTCCTCCGTCCTGGGGATGAGCGGCTTTGGCCGGGTCTGCGACGCCGGCAGTTGGTCGTGCGCGCACCCTGCATCCGCGTTTATGGGGTGGGCGGATCCGGCGACTCCAACGCCCGAAGCCGGGCGGATCTGGCGCCTTCGGGTCGAGCTGCGTGCGCCAACTTGCCTCCTCTATACGGGGATGGGCGGACGGCTTTGGTCGGGGCTGCGATGCAGGCGGCCGCGCGTGGCCCCTAGATCCGTAGTCTACGGGTGGCGGGTGGCCTCCAGGGCTAGGGTCAGGCGGACCCGGCCAGCTACGTGCGCCCCCTGTGCCCAGCAGTTGGCTCGCGCTTCAGCGGCCAGCGACCGACGGGCTCATAGGTCGGTGGTCAGTTCACGTTTCTGCAGCTGACCCTGCTGGCTCCACGCAATGCCGAGTCCCAATTGCGGGGTCGGCGTCACCCTGCTGGCTGTCTGGGGCGGCGGGTCGGAGGCATGGAGTTCTGGGCGAAAGCTCAGCTCGGTTTTGGTCGAGCGGGCAGCAGTGACGCCTCGAGCGCCACATTCCTCCTTGGAGGCGTCGTTGTTGAACCCCATGCTTCCCGCCAACGATGCCAGATTCTGGGTGATGTAAGGCCAGCGACGATGGCATCCACTGTGGGCGTCACCTCCTTCCTGAAGGCATCGTGGAAGAATCTCCGGCTCGTCGCTTGTCCCCCGTGTGGTCACCGACATCCGTGGCTCATCTGTTCCGTCGGCTTTTGGTGGAGTCCCTCGCTGTGCCTATGTGTGCCCTTGTTTTACTCGCAATGGTTTGTCCTGCAACATTTGACCTTGCCGTCGTCGTTTGGCTGCCATAGCGGATGCTTTGCCGCTATCTCTATCTCCATGGCGGATGCTTGGCCGTCATTGGTTTCTCGAGCGGATGCTTTGCCGCCGTTGTCGTTGGCCTCCTCGCTGGTAGATGCTTTGCTGCCGAGTGTGTCTTGGTCGTTCCCCCTGCGGATGCTTTGCCGCAGGGCGTCTTCTCTTGGCGGATACTTGGCCGCCGTGGTCGTTGGCGGATGCTTTGCTGCCGTTGCTGCTGGATGCTCGCTTCTCTCTGGGTGGATTGTTTGCCACCAGGGCACCGTCTTGTTTGTAGGCAACCATTGCGTCCGTCTTTGTATCCTTTTCTTGTAGGCTCGGTTGATAGATTTTGGGTGTTGAGGGCAATCGCTCCATTCTTTCTCTCTTTCTTTCTTGTTTATTATGTTGTATTCCAGTTTACTCACCGCTGGCTTAGTGGTTGGTAATCTGTGCTATGAGTGTTCTCTCGTAGCTGGATCTTATAATTCATTTCTGCTTAACGAAAAACGGGCTATATTCTCCGATCGCGGAAAAAAAAAGTCCATTGTCACGACTCACGAGCCACAACACAACAAACAAATCCTCCTCACGAAACCAACACACACCGGCTCGAATAAGAAAAGTGGGATATGATTGGGAACACCAAGCGAGTAACTACGCGACCATTTGGAAGATTAACAAGCACCATGCATCAGCATATTCGTTTGGCTGTGGCTTGTTATAAACGATTGTAAATTTTTAGTCGGAATAGTATTTTTCTCTCACACAAACCAGCCAGCAGTACTTCTTCACGAACCAGCAACGAAACGAACTGGCCAACCGAACAGGCTGCATATGCTTGCGAAAGTTATAAGGGAAATGACTCGGCCCTGACAGACTTTAATTAGAAAGCAGACGCTCATCTCCACATCATCCTTTTAGTTTCTACAATGATACAATCATTTTGTAAACGACCATCCAAAGTCCAAAGAACGAACGTGTTACAAACCTCCACGGATCAACTAGCTAGGCACTTACTCAACTACGAATTGTAAGCTGGTAAAGTGGTAAGCATAGAACAATGGCCTAATTGAAGATGAAACCCCCCATTGCGTACATGTCCATCAGCCAGCCAGCATCACAGAATCTTGGTTTTCTCGGAGCGGAGACAACGTTTTGCAGCCTGCATGTTGCAGGCCCCTATCTTGAAGTCTGAAGAAACGCCACCCTTGTCATGAGCCGACGGCACAGCGAAACGCCCCGGGATTGCGGACGCTCCTTCTCTGAAGACGCCGACGCCGACGCCGACGCCGTGGCGTGCTCCAGGGTCTTGGCCCTCGCGATCTCCACGTACCTGAGTCTCTTCCGCTTGTAGAGGTTCGCGGCGTCGGGGTTGATGGCGCGGCCATCTATGACAGGCTCGTGCAAAAGCGAGACTATGACCAGGAGAATCTTGTGCACCGTCCAAGCCGGCGTCCACCAGTGCTTGTTGTCAGTCAGGAAGTCCAGGCAAACCAGTCCGGTCCTCGGATCGATGTTCGGGTGGTACACCTGAAATCGCAAGGCCGACACGCATGCGTGAACCCACCAAAACCGAAGAAGAACTGCAGGGAGCGAGCGAGCCGGTACCTTGGTTGCGAAGGTGACCTTGGGAGGCTTCAAGGGGTAGTGGCGAGGGAACTTGAAGCGGACGGCGAACACCCCGCCGTCGTAGGGGCTTCCTCGGGGGCCGACGACGACGACCTGCCAGTGGAAGAGGTCCGTCGCGTCGGCGCCGGGGACGCACCACTCGGGCGGGTCGGCCCAGAGCCCCTCGAGCTCCTTCTGAAGCCGCGTCGTCCAAAGACGGGACTTGTCTGGCCGCGCGCCCGTGGTCGTCGTTCCCCGGAGACGGGGAGCACCGCCACCGGGAGCCATGGCCTTTGCCTGCATGGACGGTGAGCGGTGACCGGTGATGCAACGATCGGGGAGCCTAGCTAGAGACTCCCACGAAGGCACCAAACGAACAGAGATCAGAATGTGAAACGTGTACTTGGGTTGGTTAACTCGAAATGGCTTGAAGTTGAAGGCGGAGGGGGCGGCATATATAGATGGAGGACTTTTTACACACCTAGGAGAGACTCCATTTATCGACAACTTGTACTCTTGTAGTGTGCGGCGCAATATACCCCAAATACCATACCACTGTATGGCTGTGACAGATAACATCTACTGTTGCAAAAACAACTGCTCATGAAGTCTATGTCAAAACATAAACATATACTCCATCATTTCCAAATTATAAGACGTTTTGATTTTTTTGGTACATCCAATTTGGTATGCATCTAGATATAATAACATGTCTAGATACATAGCAAAATGAATGAACTAAAAAAATTAAAGCGACTTATAATTTGGAACGGATGGAGTATATAATATGCATAAAGGCCATGCATTCAAAAATTGAGAAACTTCCGCATGAACAATTGCTTCACATTAAGCTAGAGACACTAATTACTTCACTATCAATAACAATCGCACAATATTGTGCTCTTTCTTTTTTTTTTGGAAAAATATTTGGTTCAAACCACACATTCTGTGCAATCATAAAAAACTCCTCGAAACAAATATTTATAAGTTTCCAAAAAAATTCATCCAATGCGTATGTATAATGTACCTATAGATATATTGTCGCAAAAATTGAGATGCAAAATCATTGTCGGTATTTCCTACTACCTAAAGTTTCCTTGGCATTATATAATTCACTTTTTTCAAGTATAAAATTGGAAAAAATGCAATCGCCGTAATGACAAGAAAATAAGGGGAGCACTTGAGATTACAACTTTTGTGCTTAGCTATCTTCGGATAGATTTTTCTTACCACTAGTTTCTCGCAAAATACAATTTTTGAAACAATTATAACAATAGTGTGTCTAAGGTAGTGAAGAGCTATCCTTTACCTAAGCCGCCCCGCGTCGCTCCTCTGGGATGGCACGAATGGTGGCCCAAGGTGCGGGGAGGGTCATGCTAACAATAGTGACATCATGGCTCCTTCTTTACTAATACGTACTCCATTCGTTTTAAATTATAAGTCGATTTAATCTTTTTGGTGTATATATTTTGCTATGCATCTAGATATAATAATATGTCTAGATACATAGTAAAATAGATAAATCAAAAAAGTCAAAGCGACTTATAATTTGGAACGGATGGAGTTTCTGATAAATTTTCTTGTCATTATGTTTCGAGAGAGAAAAAATAGTTTTTAAAACAGTAGTGTAGAGGTAATTTGAAATACAAATTTACCAGTTTGATAAGTTTTATAAAGTCAAAATAAGTATTTACAACTTAAACAACAATATAATTGTGTAGATCAACATACACAAGAAATTTGAGCTTTTCTAATTAGAAGTATGCGCGGCCACTATAGTGAGACAAAGGGAGTAAGGTAGAGGAGAAGCGCCGCCTAAAGGTAGGAGATGGTAAGGCGACGGTGCATCCCCGAAGAAACGCCACCACATTTTTCCACGTCTCACGGGGCACCACGACTCTCGTTCCACGGGCAGGCGACGACGATGCGTCGTCGCGGCGCTTCAATGGCCCCGTTCGGCTTACCCCATATTCGATTTGGTCGGATTTTTTTTTCAATCGAAACAGTGTTTTTCTCTCACAACAATTCAGCCACAACAGTGTTTTTTCAGCCAGTCTCAGTTAAAATTCTGCCAGCCGAACGGGGCCATATATCTCACGGGGCTCGGGCACCACGATCCTCTTTTCTTTGTAGGCAGAACTCCTAGACCTAGCAGCCACATCGTTGTGGTAGCCCGGCCTGCTCCTGCTCCTGCTCGTGTCTTTCTTGGCCGGGTAGCAGTGGGAGACGATGGGCGTCGAGGAGTACCCCCAGGTCCACGCCATGGCCGTCTCCTCGTACAGCTCGAGGTCGGCCGCGTAGATATCAGCGATGTCCTCGTTGATGGGGTCGCAGTCGAGGACGGGGTCGTAGAGCACGGACACAACGTAGAGGAGGAGCTTGTCCACGGTCATTGCCACGCTCCAGTTTTCGTAGTGGAAAGATGTCCAGCATCAACGATTTTTTTTAACACTATTTTCAAATCTAACACGTCTCAACTTCTCTTTTTAAAACTAACCCTTTTGGCGGCGCGGCAAAACTACACTGTCGCGCTATGCATGGTGGCACGGCAAGCCAACCACGTGGCAGTCAGCCGAGCGCTGACTCGCTGGCGTGACACAACTTAAAAAAATTGTATTTTTTTTCCACACTATCGAGCCATGCATGGCAGCACGGCAAGACTGCCACATGGCAGTCAGCCCAGCGCTGACTCCCTGACGTGGTGCAACTTAGAAAAATTGTATTTCTTTCATACGATCTCGGATAAAGATGATCTTTATATGAAAATTATATCCCTTGACGAGATCTACAACTTTCTAGTTTTAAGTTTTTCCATTTAAGGTCGTTAAGATGCTCAAAAAAATAATATGTAGTTTCAATATCGTATTAGTCGCGTACAAACGCTTGTCGCATTGGAAAAATCATATCTTTCTTATATTGTGCCAAATGGAGATACTTTTTATGTACAAGTTATAGCTCTTAACGAGATCTACAACTTTCTAGTTTTGAGTTTTTGCATTTGGGGTCGTTAAAATGCTCAAAATATAAGAGCTTGTACGCGATTAATACGATGCTAAAACTATATTATATTTTTTTATGTATCTTAACGATCTCAAATGCAAATACTTAAAACAAGAAAGTTGTAGATCTCGTTGAGAACTACAACTTTAGTATAGAAAGTATCTCCACTTGGCACCATAAAACGCAAAAATTTTAGTATAGAAACACTTGTACTCAATTAATACGATGCTAAAACTTTATATTATTTTTTTAGCACCTTAACGACTTCAAATGAAAAAACTCAATACTAGAAAGTTGTAGATCTCGTTCAGAGCTACAATTTTTATATAAAGATCATCTTCATACGAGATCATATAAAAAATATACAATTTTTCTAAGTTGTGCCACGTCAGCGAGTCAACGCTCGGCTGACTGCCATGTGACGGGCTTGCCGCGCCGCCGTGCATGGCGCAGCAGTGTGGTTTTGCCGCGCCGCCATGCATGGCGCGGTCAAAACGGTTAGTTTTAAAAAAGGAAGTTAAGACATGTTAGATTTGAAAATAGTGTTAAAAAGGTGTTAAAACTAAAAAAAATCGCATTAGCTCCCCTTCTGAGCTGATGTTCGGGTGGTACACCTGAGGGCGGATGTTACAATATATACGAGATCGTCGAATCCATTGAAACGAGAAGAGAGGGATCGAGACGTACCTTGGTTTTCAAGGTGATCTTTGGGGGCTTCAAGGGATAATTGCCGATGAAGTCGATGTCGATGGGGAACGTCCCTCCAGCGAAGGGGCTTCCATCAGGGCCGTCGATGACCACCTCCCAGTGGAGGATGTCCGTCATCGACGAGGCACCGGGCCGGCAGAAGTCCGGCGGGTCGACCCACAGGGTTGTGAGCTCTTTCTGGATCCGTTTTCTAGACAGCTCAGGGCTTATCATCCTTCCTCCCAGGAGTGATCCGGCCGATCTGTCGTCGTATACTCGTATTGCGGGCGGTGCCGGCCATGCGCGCCTCCGATGGTCTATGGAAGGTAGTAAAACCCTACTTTGTTCGGGCGAAGGCTTCATTGACAGTTGATTTACAATGAAATTAAACGTACTAGCCCTGGAGAAGAGATCGCTTCGAAATCCACGGTGTTGGTGTCGACGTTCAATCTACTCGACCCTAGAGTGTTAAACCTAAAACAGGATCTCTAGGCAAAGAACTAACATGTCTCTTTGTACTTGGATAAACCGTGAGTCCTAGAACATCTATTAGTGCAGTAACAGTAGATAGAACGAGAGAGAGAGGTGAAGGGGTGCGAACCATCAGCCGCCTTGGAGGAAGATGGGCTCGCCATCACAGTGCTTGGCGATAACCCGGTGGCGATGTCGAGTCGAAGGGTGGCGGTGCAGTAGCGGTCGTAGGATAGCCCTGGCGTAGTAGCAGACCTCCGGCATGATGTGAGAGGCGGTGGCGGCGCTTCCCATCGCTGGCAGCGCCCCCTCTGTGATTGGTTAGGGTTTCGGACTGTAGGTGGGGTGCTAGGCGGCTCAGGCGAACCTCGTGACTCGAGCGCCCCAGCCCCCACCTCCTATTTATGGTGTTGTGCGACGGGGCCACCAACCATATTAGGGTTGGGCGCCCCAGATCAAGACGCAGATCCAAGGGCCTATTGGTGAAGATCAACTAACATTCTCTCCATTGATCTCACTTATAACTTAAACTTGACTTACTTACTTTCTCTTGTTCCCATTCCATCACAGATCAGTGCATAGAGCGTGCCTCATCGTCACGATTAGTTGCCATTAGATTAAACAGCTATAATGCACATCTCTGTTTTGAAATAGATTCTTAACTAGGCCCTTATTGTCTAGGAATCATAGGTTTTCCCTTAAACCCATGCTGACTACGTGTTATCTGAACACACTGGGTGGTAAGCCTTTTGTAAGCGGATCCACGAGCATCTTTTCTTTTCTTATATGCTCAAGACTAGTTATATGATCCCGGACTTTATTTTTCACAACATAATACTTTATGTCAATGTGTTTGGCAGCACCACTTGACTTATTGTTGTGAGCATAACATACTGCTGGATTATTATCGCAGTATAACTTAAGTGGTTTGTGTATGTCGTCTACCACTTTCAACCCGGGCATGAATTTCTTTAGCCAATTCACCTGCCCTGTGGCCTCATAACATGCTACAAACTCGGCATACGTTATGGACGATGTAGTGACGGTTTGCTTTGAGCTTTTCCATGATATAGCTCTTCCTACGAGAGTGAATATGTACCCTGACGTGGACTTTCTTACATCTCCCGCATAATCAGAATCTGTGTACCCCTCTATGTGTAGGGAATCAGATCTTCTGTATGTTAGCATGAGACCCTTCGTACCTTGCAGGTAACGCAGAACTTTCTTTACTAATTTCTAGTATTCTATTCTTGGATTACTCTGATATCTGCCAAGCAACCCGCTAACAAATGCTAAGTCAGAACGAGTACACACTTGAGCATATTGAAAACTTCCGACAGCTGAACTATATGAAACCATTTTCATTTGATCGATCTCATATTGGTTCCTAGGACATTGAAATTCCCCATATCTGTCGCCCTTGACTATGGGAACAGGTGATGACTTATAATTTTGCATACTGTATTTCTTTAGAACTTTTTCTAAGTATGCCTTTTGTGATAATCCTAAAACCCTCTTTTCTCTATCTCGGTGAATCTCTATTCCTAGGACGAACGAAGCTTCACCGAGATCCTTCATATCAAACTTTGAGGATAAGAACTTCTTTGTTTCTAGTAGTAGACCAACATCACTGCTAGCGAGCAAGATGTCATCCACATACAAGACTAGGAAAATGTATTTCCCATTCTTAAACTTTGCGTAAACGCAATTGTCCTCTATATTTTCTTGAAACCCAAACTTTCTTATTGTACTATCAAACTTCAAATACCATTGTCTTGAAGCTTATTTTAATCCATAAATGGATTTCTTTAGGCAGCATCCCATGCGTTCTTTTCCTTCCACAACAAAACCTTTCGGTTGTGCCATATAAACGTTTTCCTCCAAATCCCCGTTTATGAACGCTCGTCTTAACATCCATCTTATGTAATTCTAAGTCGTAATGTGCTACAAATTATGATTCTAAAAGAATCCTTACATGAGACTGGAGAAAATGACTCATTGTAATCTATGCCTTCTCTTTGCGTGAAACCTTTTGCCATAAGTCACGCTTTAAACCTTTCTATATTTCCTTTGAAGTCATGTTTAGTTTTGTAGATCCATTTACAACCTACTATCTTGGCTTCTTTAGGAATTATTTCTAATTTCCAAACTCCGTTGGTTTTCATTGATTTCATTTCATCTTCCATGGCTTCAAGCCACTTGGATGAGTGAGCGCTTCTCATGGCTTCTTCAAATGAGGTGGAATCACCCTCCATTTCAAATTCTTCACTTTCATAAACTTCATAATCATCAGGAATGGCTGATCTTCTGACTCTTTGAGACTTTCTAAGGGCCTCACTAGATGACGCTTGTTCTATTTGAGGTTGTTGTTGCTCTTCCTCATGTGTGACAACGGGTTCTTGGGGATCCTGAAGGATAGGTTTCTCATGTTCATTCATTGTTGCCACAGGAGAACTAATAACATATGTTGTTACTACAGTGTCTTTCACTATTGGTACAGCAACAACAGGTAGCATAAAAAATGGTTCCTGAACCATAGGAGTGGGCACGTATACCCGCTTTTCTTCAAAACTAATTTCTCACGCTACCATGTCCCCCCGATCATATCATCCTCCAAGAAGATAGCATGTCTTGGTTCTACAAACTTCGTTTGTCTGCCAGGACAATAGAAGCGATAACCTTTTGACTTTTCTAGATAGCCAATAAAATGGCAGCTGACTGTCTTGGAGTCCAGCTTCCATATATTTGGGTTAAAAACTTTTGCCTCAGCAGGACAACCCCACACACATAAATAGTTTAGTGAGGGTTTATTTCTTGTCCACAACTCATATGGTGTCTTGGGCACCGACTTACTTGGCACTCGATTAAGAATATGAATAGCAGTTTTTAACACCTCCATTCATAAACTTATCGGTAAGGTAGAGTAACTTATCATGCTTCTCACCATATCCATTAAGTTATAGTTGCGTCTTTCAGCTACTCCATTCTGCTGAGGCTCGCCCGATGTAGAATACTGGGCTACTATGCTATTTTCCTGTAAGTACCTTACAAAGGGTCCAGGAACTTGGCCATATGGGGTGTTGACCATAGTACTCTCCTCCATGGTCGGACTTTATTATCTTAATCTTTAGGTTGTGATGATTCTCTACTTCAGCCTTGAATATTTTAAATTTATCCAATGCTTTCGATCTTTCTTTAATTGGATAAATATAGCCAAAATGAGAATAGTCATCTG